AGAAGGGCAGTGGTAGCAGGCCTTGCCCGCTTGTCGCTCTCGAATACGTCTTGGTAACCGCATCATAAGACACAGACAAAACTATATTCTACAGTGCGTTTTATTCAACTAAAGTGCATGCGAGGTAATTCGGTAAGAATCGTGTACCCAACTCATAGACAGACGACAAAAGTAAGACAACTCTTCATTCAAGAAAACTAGCTTGAAGTTGGATGAAGACGTTACCATGCAAACAATCTCTCCCACCTTCTCTTGAGCACTAAATACCATGGGCACAATCATTAACTACAATCCTTAAGTGGATACTTCGTAAATTTTTGTAAAACTGTTTATAAACTGAGAAGACTAAACGTAAAACAAGAACGCAAACAAACTTTATAATCCCATTCGGCCTCGGATACTTCCCATACGTACACCAAATAAACAGATAAATGCACAAAGGTGCGCGTATATTTGGCAAATTTCCTCGGATTTACTTTCTACACGTTAACGGCTCTAGTCTTAAAGCAAACCAGAAATGTATAATTCTGCAGACTTTCCCAGACGTCTACGACGCGCATGGATCATAGCAAAAATATAAATGGAGGGCAGAGTAACTAAAGAGGAAAACCACACGGGAACAGCTGCTGGGCTCGTCAGTTTCTAGGCATTGGCGACCACATACGTTCGAAAAAGCGAATTCAAAACAACGCTAATCCAGTGACAGCCGTTTCGTCTTTGCTTACAATCTAATTGATTAGGTTCGGATATACATAACCAAGCTGAAAAATTTTGTGAAACTTTAGCCAATGACCTAAAGTCAACCCAGGTGCCTAGCAGTGTTGGTCGGATTTCCGCTGTTATGTTAGGGTAATTGTGTACCCGACAACAATGTTAGTTTAAAATTCTATCAGCGACTACAAATCAACGGACCCAAATAAGTTAAGGAGAAGGAAAGAGAAATGTGCAACTAATGTTTGGGAAAGAGACACGCGGCTGCAGTACATGCTGAAAATTTGGAATGTAGTCAGCCGAGTACTGTGGAGACACTATAGACGCTAGACCCTTTTTTTTTCTTGTCGCCAATCGGCTATCACAGCGGTTAAATGAGTCGTAGGGTAGTTTGGGAATACAAACGAACCCAGCCGGACCTTTGGCAGCTTCTAAAAATGGCAGGTAGTTC